GGGGGGTGACTAGTGACAGTGGGGGGTGATTAGTGACAGTGGGGGGGTGACTAGTGACAGTGGGGGGTTTAGGGTGATTAGTGACAGTGAGGGAGGGTTTAGGGTGATTAGTGACAGTGGTAGGGTGATTAGTGACAGTGAGGGGGTTTTAGGGTGATTAGTGACATTGGGGGTTTAGGGTGATTAGTGACAGTGAGGGTTTAGGGTGATTAGTATGACAGTGGGGGGTTTAGGGTGACTAGTGACAGTGGGGGTTTAGGGTGATTAGTGACGATGAGGGGTTTAGAATTGATTAGTGACAGTGAGGGGGTTTAGGGTGACTAGTGACAGTGAGGGGGTTTAGGGTGATTAGTGACAGTGAGGGGGTTTAGGGTGACTAGTGACAGTGAGGGGGTTTAGGGTGATTAGTGACAGTGAGGGGGTTTAGGGTGACTAGTGACAGTGAGGGGGGAGGGGGTGACTGGTGCCTACCTGTGTCTCTGCTTCCTCTGGTCTCCCTGGCTGCTGCTTCTCTCCTTCCCCTGCTGGCTGAGAGCTCTGTGTGTAAGAGGAGAGTACAGGAAGTGAGGTCACTTCCTGGCCCCGCCTCTCCCATCACACAGAGCACCGCGGGACAGTGAGAAGACCTGGCAGAGAGCTGGAGAAGCTGCCAGGTCTCATTGGGGGGGGGGTGGGTGTGACTAGCAGAGCGGTAGGTTGTGGGGCCCCACGCTGCATCAGGGGCCCCACAACCTATCAATTAAATAGTTTTATTTTTTTTAATTTTGCCTTTCCAGTTGGAGAGATCTCTGATCTGATCTCTCCAGCTGGAGCATGGCTGTGCGGCAGGGCCCCTGGCTGCCTCGGGCCCTCGGTCCATGACCGAAGTGCCCGAGTGGTCAGTCCGCCCCTGACCAAGACCTTTCAATATCACTTGTTATATACCCGCTAGTTTCATCTCAAGTTCCCAGCCTTCCCAGAGGCGGAGATAAGGCATACCTATAGACACAATAAGTAGCCACTCCCTTGTGTTCCAGAAAACAAAAAGCCAAATATCACTTTTTGTTTTATCTCCTCTACTGTACTTGCCACAGAAATAATAATTGCCTCTATGAATTTGGTACCATTTTCCTATTCAATGGATATATCACAATACTTACATGTGACCTAATATAGCAGACATCACAACCCCTGACACCCGGTTTAAGTTGTATAAGTGGTGTTTAGACTTGATTAAAAGGCTGTGCTTGTCCCATGCTAAATATAATAAAAAATATGTGTCATTATTAATCTGTGAATAAGTATTAATGTTTCTCTTGGACATGATAGTAGAAGATACTGGTCTTCATGAAACTAATGCCATTACCATATCAAAGGATTGAATTATCCATTGATAGTTTCAAGCCATATGGTCAAAGTCAGTTAGCTTACATTGAAACCAGACATAAAGGCAGCTCAAGTGTAAAATGTCTCACTTTGCAGGCCCTTTGATAGATCGAAAAGGGCATTCCTTTTGACACCTTGCAGAAGCTCCTTTTGATCAAAAGAGCAATTCCTCTCTTCCATTTGTCCTCTACCCAGGGGTCACACTACACAAGTTATATTAAAGGACAATATTCCATAGTGCAATAATAAATTATGCACCCTTGCTGTGATAGTCTCTGTGAGCATTAGCTCCAGGAAGACATCTCACAAGGCCATTATTGTCCAGCTCCACACATATTATGATAGAATCACCCAACAACAACTGCTTTTTATCAAGCCTCGCCTTATCCTTTTTGTCATTGGCTGCAGTCTTGCACAACTGTGACAGATGATTGTGGTTCCACAAACTCAGTGCATGAGCCTGCCCCCATAACACCATTACACTCAGTGCACTACACTCAGTGCCCAAGCTTGTATCCATGACAACACTACACTCTGTGCCTGAGCATGCCTCTAAAACACCACTACACTCGGTGCCTGAGCCTACCTCCATAACACCACTACACTCAGTGCCTCAGACTGTCTCCACAACACCACTACACTCATTGCCTGAGCCTGTCTTCACAACACCACTGCACTCAGTGCCTGAGCATGCCTCTAAAACACCACTACACTCGGTGCCTGAGCCTACCTCCATAACACCACTACACTCAGTGCCTCAGACTGTCTCCACAACACCACTACACTCATTGCCTGAGCCTGTCTTCACAACACCACTGCACTCAGTGCCTGAGCATGCCTCTAAAACACCACTACACTCGGTGCCTGAGCCTACCTCCATAACACCACTACACTCAGTGCCTCAGACTGTCTCCACAACACCACTACACTCATTGTCTGAGCCTGTCTTCACAACACCACTGCACTCAGTGCCTGAGCTTGTCTCCATAACACCACTACACTCTTAAAGTGCTAAAAATAATTATGCAGAGCCACAGAGTGTGCAATATGCCTTTTTTTCCACAAATCTAAGTGCACCAGATCCTAAAGTAATTCATCTGCCATACCTAGGACATTTGCAACAGTCCCAGCCTGGGTTTGTTTAACAGATAATTTCTCCTGACGCAATATAGAGAACTGTCTACAGATTAGACAACATCCAAATCTCCAAAAAGAGGAATGCATAACAACTATTACACTGAACTAAGTCTGCCATTTTAATGAGGTGGGTAATTTTAATCAAACAAATCTTAACTTTTTTCCCCTCAACTTTATACCACAGATTACTTCCAGTTCATCCCCAAGCACAAACTTTGAAGCAGCACTTAGAGATAGCAACCAAGCTACATTCTTATATACTTGCATTCCTTAATCCAACTTTCATGTCATATTTTCAGCTGGCTGTCAACACTTTGTATCTCATGATTTAGTGAATTAGTACTCAACTAAATCACATCCCACTTCTTCAAATTATTAAAATGATATTTACAATTCATCGTGATGTGTACCTGATAATTAAGATATAAATGCGATATAAATTTATTTTTGTAGTTCATACTTGCTGATTTCTGGGACAAATCTGTTTACAGTGTGAATATTAATTAATAAGTGTCATGAAATGCATATGTCTGTGGAGGCCTCCCACTAGCCCTACCACTAGAGCCACCTCTTCTTGTCTTGCCCTAAGGCTCTCAGCACACAAAGCACATATATAAATTAAAGCCGAATTGTCATTTCTGTGAAAATGATAGTTCCTCATTCCCTCCCCTCAAGTTCTTACAAGGTCCAGTAGAGATAAAGGACAACTGTCAATTAAAAATTTTGTTTTTTTTAATATAAAAATTTTAATCAAATTTTAAAAGGAAATAGTTTTAAAAAATTAAGTACATAAGTATATGACAGGATATTTTCCGCTATTTACATGCATCTTGGGTCGCTGTTTGAAAACCGACGCTTAGTCTCCTTGGTCTTCCCTGCTTCACTCCCCGCACAGAAGCTGGGAATACCAAGTGTCTGCTTTCTAATACTGCCTGCAGGGCTGCCATCAGAAATTTTGGGGCCCCTAACTGAGCTCAGGGTCTGGGCCCCTGGGGGCCCGCCTCCAAAACCGCCCACAGAGGCCGCCTCCAAATCCCGCCCACAGGAATACACACGCAGACACAAACACATTCACTGATACAAAAGGACACAGATACACACACACACACTGATACATACTAACAGACACACTTACTGATAAGCATATAGGCATACATACTGACACACACATACTGAGACACACACACATATACAGAAATACAGGCGTGCATACATACTACACTGACATTCATACACACATAATGACATGCATACAGACATGCATACAGACAGACATACATACATACAGACATACATACATACATACATACACACAGACATAGACATACATACAGACATACATACATACAGACATACATTCACATACACATACACACACAGCTCATTTTCCAGCCACCCTCCTGTCTCTTACCTTGTCTTTGCAGGAGGGTGGCTGAGGTTGATGGGACTGGGAGTCGGCTGGCTCTCCTCTTCATTTCCGGGCGTGTGCTCCTCCCGCGCGGAGTGAGCAGGGAGGAAGTGACCACTTCCTCCCAGCAGCACTTGCGCTGCGGCGGCTTTTTTTTTTTTAAAAAGGGCCCCGGTCGCGCTATACCACGGCCACAGCGCTGACCAGGCCCCTGAAGATACGGAGCCCATCGGGTGCCCCTAAGTGCGTGGGCCACCCGATGGGCCCCATCAGCATGCGGGCCCCGGTGGAACTGCACTGGCGGCAGTTCCGCCGCTACACTTGGGGCCCGGGTGGCTGGGCCCGTGACAACCGTTATGGTTGTCACCCCCTGATGGCGGCCCTGACTGCCTGACTCAAGGTGTATATGTCCAAAGAATTGTGTCATATACTAATGGTACAGATTTGTTTTACTTTTTTTTTTACATATACCATATATATTTTTTTTTCAATGGATTTCCTTTCAAAACTTGATGAAATGATTTTTATATTAAAAATAGTTTTAGACAACAGTTGTCCATTTAGTAAAATATGCACTTATCTCCACAATACCTACATGTTCAAAGTTGTATTAATCGGAGTACTCATGGGCACTCAGGCGTCTGCAAAGAAACGCTGTACAAGTGCCTGGCTATTCCTTCTCTAATACTATACTCACACATGCACCTGTGTGTCGTGCAATATAAACTTATTACAAAAATGGCACAGATTTTATAAAAAAAAAACACAATAATGAGAAGAAAAAGAATGTAAAAAGTACTATAGCATCATGTTTTCTTTATCAGTAAAATTCTCATTAATTTATCTCTGTTTTTAATTATCTTCAAAATGATAATAAATTATGAATCTTAATATCTGAATGTAATCTTATTTTATATAACCCAGTTAGTTTTAAGAAGTCTATAATGCTAGGCATATTATTTTTATGGATTGAGTACTTGTGCAGAGAGTGTTGTATTCTAGACAGTATGTACCTTATAAGCAGGCACAGCATGAAGTTTTATTTTGCTTTTTGAGAGGAAAACAGCCTTTTACAAAACTATCCTTTTATCTTCCATTACTTGCTGTGCAAAAAGAGTAAAAATTGCCTGTGACAAACTTGCATAAATCACTAATTGCCTTTATTTTTCTGTTTCAAGATTTTGATGGCCGATAAGTTGCTATTTCATGGTATATTATAATACTTTACAAAGATGGCTGAGAAAAGAGGAAGGATGGAGAACTTAAGAGAAATATTCAGATTTTCTATAGTTTGACTCTGGTTTGCACTTACATGTTTATAGCTCGGCTATTTTGTGATACATCGTAAATATTCAGTATAGATAGGTATGGTGTATCGATGCACATTAATTATTTTTGTAATGTTTAATGATTTTGTACGGTTTTTAAGTTTAGAACAGTGGGGGATATTAATGTAAAAACCCAGCTTTAGTTAGGTAAGTTAAGTGAGTGTCAAGCCGTTTACTTGTAGGATAGCTCGCGGCAACTCTTGGCACCATAACCACTGCAAGCCCGTTGTAGTGTTTATGGTGCTCTGAGTGTCAGTTGACATACCTTTAAGTTCCTTTTATTTCCATATCGAAATTCTGTACATTTGTACATTGTGAACAGTCATTTTTTTGTTGTTGTTTTTCCTTTTGTTAACGCACAGCTCTATAAATTATATTATATGGTCTATCTCTCAGAATATACTTTATTTCTACATGAAAACTTTACAGAATACTACATTGTTTAAAATATATTTTACTTAATGAATTAAAGTCTGGTTTTAATACACACATCATGCCTAAACTCCACTTTCTTTTCTTAGTTGTGTCAATTCATTTCCCTTTACAGTTTCATTTATAATTTGCTTTTCAAGCCAAATCCAGTGCACTTTAATTTGTTATACTGTGCCTAATTAGAGCTGCACATTAGTTGTTGCTTTACAGATATGACATCTAGATGGATTTGTTTGCAAGTTGAGCATCTGGATAATTTGCAAAATTTAGCTTTTAACTTGTTTTTACAAGTTACTTTTCCATTAATTTTGTCTCATCTTTATCCATGTACCTGTGAAGAACCCCCCCCCCCCCAAAAAAAACCCCTCATGATTCCAAAAAATGTTATACTTGTTTATATGAAACTATACTAACAATTTCACAATAATATCATCTGAAGGTAATTATTAGTTTTCAGTGAAATCTGTAATAATTCCAGACAAATATTGTCAGGAAAGTGACAGGGATCCAATACGCAGAGTGCGCACAGAATGAGGTACGTATACCGGACCTTAGAATGGCCGGACTAACGTAAGGACAAAGCAAGAATAGTCAAAAGGTAAGCCGAGGTCAAGGGAGCCGGAGGACAGGTAAGCGAGATACAAGCCGAGTCAAAGGAGAGGAGAGGACAACAGGACAAAAGACAAGCAAGGGTCAAAACCGGAAACACAAGATAAAGAACGCGCTGAGTGACTAGCAAGCTAGAACCACGACAGGGCAATGAGCAGTAGTAAAGGTTTCCTTTAAATACCCTGTTACCTAAATAGAGACCACGCCCCCAAAAGGTCCGGAATAGCGGTTCCCGGCACTTTATGCAAATGCCGACGTCATGACGTTGACGCTAGCCGTCGCGTCATAAAAGGGGGAGGAGCTAGCGCGGCCGGCGCGAAAACGGCCGGAATATGCCGAAATGCTAGGGGCAGGGAGGCCCTAAGCAGAGAGGATGTCCTCCCTGGATACATCACCAACAGGTACCCTGACAGTACCCCCCCTTCTAGAAACGCCCACCGGGCGGATGGGACCGGGCTTAGAGGGAAAACGAACGTGGAAGGCCCGAAGAAGACGAGGAGCATGCACGTCTATACCAGGAACCCAAGACCTCTCTTCTGGACCATAACCCTTCCAGTCTATGAGGTATTGCAGCTTCCCCCTAGAAATACGAGAATCAAGGATGGACTTGATGATATATTCCTCCTGACCATCCACACGGACCGAGGATGGAGGAGCAGAGCGGGAGGAAAATCTGTTACAAACAAGAGGTTTCAATAACGACACATGAAAAGAGTTAGGGATGCGTAGAGTAGGAGGTAGATCCAGCAAATAAGAAACCGGGTTGATCCTCCTCAGTACCCTGTAAGGACCAATGTAACGAGGAGCAAACTTCAAGGAAGGAACTTTCAGGCGAATGTGTCTGGTACACAACCAGACCCTATCCCCGGAGAAAAAATAGGAGCAGGACGCCTACGCCTATCAGCATGTGACTTAAACACCGCGGAACTACGTTCAAGAATTTGTCGAGTCTGATCCCACAACTTTCTCAGGTTGGCTACATGAATATCAACCGACGGTATACCCTGGGAAGGAGACACCGACAGAAGAACAGTAGGGTTAAAGCCATAGTTCAAGAAAAAGGGGCTATTACGAGTGGAACCACAAACAAGGT